AATAATAATAATGATAACGATAATGATAATAACAATAATAATAATAATGATAATAATAATAATAATAAAAATAATAATTAATAATATTAATAATAATAATAATAATAGAAACGATATTCTAATTAATTTCGCGCTTCAAATTTGTGACATTGTTGGTTGCCATCTTGACAACGGCCACGTAGCATGAACAATCGTATAATTTCAAATATTTTGTTTACTAATTTCAATGAACCTTTGCGTTTTTATTTCGTTACTTTTATTTTATTTTAATATATTAAAAAATACAACTAATTAACTATTAATAGAATTTATTTAAAATATATATTGCACTGATGATGACTTTACGTCGAAATAGATCTATATGCATAACTTTAATAATAATATAAAAAATAAACGATTATAAAAATGGGATCTTGCTTGATTAATTTTAACAATTAAAATCATAAACGATTATAAAATGGATTTCAACATTTTGAATAGACTTAATTGTAAAGAACTAGTTCAAAATATTAGAAAATCAACCATAAAACTTGTTAATGCTGAATCGTCGGTGGATTTTTTGAACAAATATATATATATATATATATATATATATATATATATATATATATATATATATATATATATATATATAATTAATTAATCTGATCTTTAATTCTAATATATAGACCTAAATTTTAAATCTATTTTAACTTATATGAATTATATAAATAATACTTCTAAATTTTATTTATTAGCATTTAATTCAACTTTTAGTTTTTGGTTACTATAGTCACAATATTTTAAATAGCATTTAAAAAGGTTAAAAAAAGGTCAATTACACTCTTCCAAAGTTCAGCGGATTCAACAGAGCGCACAAACATCGTAAATGAATACGTGCTAAACGACGCATCACACACAAAATATATGATAGGCCGGGATCTTTTTGTCATATTCGAACTTGGTGACTGCGAAACTGCACAAGGCGACCTTAACCATTAGACCATCACACCGCCCATTTCATCATTAATAGGCATCACGCGCATTTCAAATTATAACACTGAACTCGATCTATAACACTTTATTGTAATCGAAATGTTGTGACATTCAACAAGTGACACAAGAACTTCACGAATGTTATTCGCTGTTGACCGCCATCTCTTTTCCCTGCAATCGTTCCAGTAGCTGTTAGATTTATCATTCTTTCCTTCCGCATGATGGATATGTTATGCTGTCACCGTAATTACATCTGCACACTACTGCTATTGATGATGATGATGTCACAGGTTGGGATTGCAAAAGCTGGTGTTGTTTTTGTTGTATCTCTGGAAAAAACGAGGTGATGCTGGAAAGTTTTTGTTAATGAAAAACAGAATCTAGATGAATTCGAGCTTGACGATCAGGGTGTCGAATCGAATGCAGTTGTATACGCTGGGGCAAACACGGAATTGATGGCACTACTTCGAACTATGTCAACAGAAATAAAACAGACGAGAAAACGAATTGATACAAAATTGAACAATCAATAACAATTGAACAGACGAGAGATCAAGTTGACGCAAATTTGAACAACAATCAGCAGAAATAAAACAGATGAGTGATCAAATTGAAGCTAAATTTGACAACAATCAGCAGAAATAAAATACGCAAAAGAAAAAATTGACGACAAAATCAAACAACAGCCGGCCGCGATTGATGTCAAAATAATATAACAGTTGAAAGAACTCAGAAAACCATTCGACGTCAAAGCTAAACAGCAAGCAGATGTAATCAATGTAAAAATAGAAAATCAGATGATGTGAATAGAAGACATCACGTCAAAAATTGAACAAAAATTTGATCAAAGGTTTATGCAGCTTGAACAGAAGTTATCTTGCAAAGTGGACAAACTTAAACAAGAACTGGAAGAAACTAAGAAACTAAACTCCAAACCTATAAGCCACGTAACCGCAAAAACATTGAAAGCGCCATCATTTGACGGAGAAACTTCTTGGAACATTTATAAAGCCAAGATTAAAGCAGCAGCAATGAGTTATAGCTAAAATGAAAAAGAGCGGGCAACGGCTCTTGTGGTAGTTTAATAAAGGTCAGCGACAGAGGTTCTCCAAACGAACTATGAAGTCCTGGTTAATGCGTTGAATTCACATTACAGTGAAGAGCACATAAAGCAAATTTATCGGTCCCACTTACGAAACCGGACGCAGCGACCTTGAGAGTCAATACAGCAGCAGGCACCGGATATTGCATGGTTGACTTTGCTGCAATACCCTGCGTACGACCCACAACACAGAAAAGAAACTGCATTGAAAACGTTTGTAAAGGCTGTTCGAGATTCAGATCTCAGACAAATCTCATACTAGCAGACAAACGCAACCGCGATGACGCCGTTGCCTACAGTTTTACATTCGAGTCATCAAAGCAAGCTTCAAAAACTGACGTAAAACTGCGCCAAATTTATGAAGAATGTTCATGTCAAAGAATTGTTCTAGAACGGAATGGTCAGAATTATGGTGCGCTAAAATGCTGGAATTGTGGAAAGAAGACATCTACGACGAGATTGTATACAACGCCTTAGAAACATCGTCATTGTGGACCAAGATGACAAAAACTGTTAGATAATGACCCAACGTCACGACCGACTGCCTCAAACAAGGAGGCGCAAAACTTGTAAAAGCTAATTTCGCGGGGCAGAAATTTGGCTGGTAGTATTGTCGCCCCTAGTACTTTGATTAAAATCTCTAGGCTGCATCAAAGTCAATACGACTTTTAGTTGAATGGCAAAGTTGGCTCACAAGAATGTTCAATTACGTCGACACCGAAGCAACGAAGTCAGTTTTAAGATCTGATCTGGTACCCAAGCTAAGAAGAGAAAATTTTTATAAACACATTTTCGAACAGCTACAGGAGAAAGAGCATCCGTCTACGAAGAAATTTTTTCATACTGTTAACAAGGCGATTTGGCATTCGAAGGTACATTCCTAAGAACAGATATCACTGACAAATGCATAATAAGCATTGATTTCCTAACAAAACATGGTTATAAAATTGATTTAGAAAAAAGCGTCTTTAAATGGAATAATACGGAAAAAATAATGAGGACCAGCAATGTTAAATGTATTCTATAACGATCGACAGTGATACTGAAGTACCTAAATCATCAGAAAACATCATATGGGCAAAAATAATTAGCGATACTGGAGACCACCAATTCTACCTGGTTGAGTCAACGACGACGATAGAAATTAACAACATTATTATTGGATAGAGTCTCGTAAAAGCAAATAAAAATAGTTAAAAAACTACTGGGCTCGGTGGGACTGCTTACATTTGGAAGATGGGTTGCTAAACAGAAATGGAAATCAACAAATGGATCGAAACATCGCATGCAGATTGTGGTACCTAGGAATAAAATCGCAGAAATTCTTAAAGAAATACATGGTGGTTCTTCAGGAGGACATTTTAGAGTTAATAAGACACTTGACAGAATACGTGAGAGTTCTACTATATAATTGCTATCGACATTGCCGAACCATTTCCTGAATCAAATTATAGAAACCGTTACATTCTGGTTGTAGCGGACTATTTAAGCAAGTATCCGATACCAAATCAAGAGGCTTGTGTCATCGCTGAAGAGATTATAATAAATTGAATCAGTCGATATGGTGTTCCCATAGAGCTGCATTCTGACCAAGTTCGAAACTTCAAGTCGCAACTGTTTGGTGAGCTGTGTAAACTATGTGTTATAAAAAAGATAAGAAGAACTATTCTCTACCCTCAATCAAATGGGATGCTGGAACGTTTTAACCAAACACTAATTGAACATTTGGCCAAGGTAGTTGACAAAAACCAAAAAGACTTGGATCGACGGATACCACTGTCCCTCATGGCATATTGAAGTGCCATCCACACAACTACTAGGAAGACTCTCTCAAAAATCATTTTTGGAAATACAATAAGAACCCCAGCTGATATAAAATATGGCATACAACCTGAGGCTCCACGATCAATAAAAAATTATGTGAACAATCTCCGTCAGCGGTTAAACAGCATCCACCAATACACGCACGCACCTTAAGTTATAAAAGAATAGTTAAACAACCAAGACACGATACGATCAAAAGAGAAACACTGCTGAATTTAACGTCAACGTTTTGGCATGACTGTGTTACCCTCATCGAAAAATAACGGTCTCCAAAGCTTCAACAAGATTGGGAAGGACCTTATCAGTTCATAACCCTATTGAACGACATCATCTACCGAGAATGAAGATTGTTCATTTGGACAGACTGGCTCTACTCTATGCAGACGTTGCAACGAAATCTGTTCGAGACGAACAGATCTGAAAGGGGGCAGAGATAACGCAACCGTCACAAATATTTTCGCAAGAAAGCTGGTTTCGTTAAAAACGCATACAGTTCGAGAAGGAACTAGAACCTTCCGACAGCGAGATATCGTTGGTAAAACGGGTACATAAAGGTATGCGAGATATTGAATGGTTGTCGTTGAATAATTGATTTTAAAAAGCGATTGATTGTTAGCGTCGAAAGCGATATTTGATATTTGACTTCGTTGTGTTTTTATTGTATTTGCGATAAACGTTAGTGAGTTGTTATTCGGAAAGCGATGGTTTCTGAACGTTAATTTGATAGTTTGTGAATATTAACTTTAATTAGTAAAATTAATTAACGTTGATTATTGACAAATTAATTAATTATGGTTTTGTAAATAAATAAATCGATAATTTTAAAGTTATTTCGCGTCACTATTTTTCACTGGGATTAAACGAACTCGTCGTCGATCGGACAGTTATAACAATATAACAAAAATTAATTATGTAGTTCCGTATTTCAACGGTTATAACAATATATATGCAAATAAATTTTACATGGGTGCATTAAAAAAATTTTAGTTGTTTTTCAGGTGAAGAAACGTTATCTTAAAATTCATAGTTTCAACTAAAAAAATATAAATAAATAGCATTGAAACAAAAAACCAGCTTCAATCAAATTAAAAAAACTAACCTCAGTTGGAAAGAATGGAGCCAAAGTAGAATAAGCGAGGACAATAAAAAAATTAGCAGCACAGAAAGTGATGACCATGAATAGTTTTTCTTTGCACGTCTTGAAAATATTAGCTTTATAAAAATTAAAAAACTATTTATTTAATAATTTCAAAGGAATTGTAGATCAAAACACTGGTGGGTCAAAAGTATTAAACTAATTATACCGTCAAGATGATAAACAATTAAAAATAATGCTAAAATAACAAATTTAAGTTTTTATATATTATTTTTTTCTTTTAATCTAGTCAACTATATGCTGATGATTTTTATATTTATACTTCTTTTCCTCCATCTAATCTCAATAGTGTTCTTCATAATTTATCTCTATGTCTTTCTTCGATTATCGCTTGGTCTGACTCTATGTGTCTTAAACTTAATCCTTTTTGCACTATGTTTAATTGTTTATCATCTTGACGTTAGTCTTATCTAGGATTGATTATTGTAACTCGCTCTACTATGGTCTTCCTGACTCTATACTCTATCCTTTAAGTAAAGCTTTTAACTCTGCTGCTTGTCTAGTTGCTCGTACCCCTTTCTTTTCTCATATATCTCCATATCTTGTTCTCTTGCACTGGCTACCTATAAAATATAGAACAATTTTTAAAATTTGCACGTTCATGTATAAGTCTCAATCTAAATTATTTCCTAAGTATTTATCAGATATGTTAATTGAACCTAAACGCCCCGGTTTACGATCGTCTTCTTCTTTTCGCTTTTTTTTAACTCGTGTTAAACACTCTTTTGCCAAATCTGCTTTTGCTTTTTCTAGCCCTTTTCTATTGAACTCTCTACCTACTTCTCTGACTACTTCTCCATCACTTACGATATTCAGAGCGGATCTCAAGACCCATATGTTTGCAAAATTCATTGAGGAACGCTGTTGAACATCGCGGAAATAGCGCTTTATAAGCTAATTGATTGATTGATTGATTGATTAATAAAAATAATTTGATATATTTGATTTGAGGATCAAAAAATTGCATATTTATTGCAATCGTAACCAAAAAAAATTATTTTATAGCAGATTTTAAAACAAAATTAAATTATAATAAAAATTGGCAGTAACATTAACCATAGTCAATTTTTGTCAAACTTATTAAATAATATCATTATATTTCAAATGTTACTGAACACAAACACTACATTTCATTTATAGAATAATAAATATAATTAAATTTATTTTACTACAAAAAATCATTGGCAATGTTTGAAGGATTAGCATAACCAAAAACGACTTGAAAAAATACGAAAAAAAACCCATTGTTGGATTTCCATCTTTCTTATCATCATCTCCATTTTCAATTTCCGTAGATGTTAACAAAAAATTCCTCTAGCTGCTACGCTCCTATATCTGTTGTATGGGCTGAAACAAGTGCACAAGATTATATTCAGGAACTTGTAATATTTGTAAAATTATTTTTCACTTGAAAATATTATTGCACATAATACGGATTTCTCACAAAAATATTTGAAATGTAGTGCTTCATAATACTTAAAAATTTTATAATACCCTTCCTTCTGTAGCTGTTAAAACTTATTCGTTTAATGTTTACATTTACTATTTACTTTTCTTGTTTAATTCAATTAATTAATTTATTTATTTAATTACTATTTAGGTAATTTATTTAATTAATCAAATCTGCTGATTCATTTCGCATTGACATCGGAAAACTGTAACCGCCGCATTAATTGTAAATATTTGAAGTTCATTCACCAGATTATTTCAAATATTTATTTGTCAATGATACAACTGTAGGGAATTAGATATATACAGTTATTTTAAGCATTTAACATTTTTAATTAGTTTTATTATTAATATTAATATCTATGTTTTAATTTAATTTATTACTACTACTACTTCTTTGCTTTACTTTTCCTCTTCCCTTTTTACGTTAGTAAGAGATCGTTACGTTTGTTTGGTCAATAAAATAAAATAATTTCTATTCGTTTTAAATTTTCCGATTTATAATCCGACAACAAAAGTGAAATAATATTAAATCGAACATTCCTCAACAATTGGAGACCCTGACGTGATTTGAACAATGAAAATCGGACGTGATTCGAACGAAGAAAATCCGATGTAAAAAAAAATACGAAGATCCACGTGGCTAGATAAAAGCGAAAACAAAATGTTCCTACCAAATGATGACCCGATCGCCATATTACCTCTTTTCAAGAAAACAGCGTCAACAGATTGGTTCGAGAATTCCGAAATGCAATTTCAATTGCGAAACGTGATATGTAAAACAAAAAGATTCTATCACGTAATAATTTTCCTGCCGTTGAATGTAGTTTCAAATTTGTCATATTACGACGCTCTAAAAGCAGAGTTATTATCAACGTTCAAACAAACCAAACCAGAGCAATTTCTACAGGTATTGCAGTCATCAATTTCACAGGTTATGGCTGCTCAAAAGAATTTAGACCAGCAACTGGAAAATTTAACTGTGGAAAAACATATTAAAAATGAGACTGCAAATGACAGCGCAAACATCTTGATGAACGTAGACTGCACCGACCACAAATTAATCGGCTCGATAACCAATGAAACTGGTTCGACAAACGATTTACATGATTTTGTGCAAAAGATTCACATCAATGAACCACCAGTACCTCAGATGAAAAACAACTCGAAAGTACCTCAAAGGTCGAGCACACCATTGACACGAGTGAAAACCAACCAATGAGTGCCAACCAGTTCTAAAAAAACTTTTTAAAATAAATTTGAATCTGATGAATGTAAACAAAATTGAAGAGAGACAGCCACCAGAAGAGTCCAATAAAATAAAAGTTTTTTTGAGCAAGAACAAAGATAAAAAAATGACATCCAACAATCAAAACAGCAAAATGCTGAGCAAAATGATACCATCCCATCAGCAAATTCACACATGAACAATTCTCTCCTTCCAGTTCTCTCTCTTCCTTTTCCTGTTCAACAGCAGCAGCAGCAAGATCATCACAAAAAGAGAAAAGCAGAGCATAGTTCATCGTCATTACATCTCATTCTAGAAATCGTTTGTAGCTGGACAGATGGTTGCATAAGAGGCCAGAACAAAATTCGAACCAGCAACCAAAGCGGCAACTGCGTTATCAGCAACAACGTCATTACCAACAACACCATCAACATTTCAAGAAACAAGATAAATATCAGCCACAGCAGAACCGTCAACCACATTATCAGCGACAAAGGAATTAGTTTTTAATTAGTTTTATTATTAATAATAATATCTATATTTTAATTTAATTTATTATTACTACTACTTCTTTGCTTTACTTTTCCCCTTCCCTTTTACGTTAGTACCAGATCGTTACGTTTGTTTGGTTAATAAAATAAAATAATTTCTATTCGTTTTAAATCGTTCGATTTATAACCCGATAACAAAAGTGAAATAATATTAAATCGAACATTCCTCAACACAACACGTGATAGACAACTGGATGTTTTGGCACTGACAAACGGATAAACTTTTAATTTTGAATTTCTCGGCGTTCGTCATTTGCTGTTAAATCGCTTTCCACATTAATATATTTAATAACTTAGTAAACAAGTTGTCAATACTCAAATTAAATTTCAATTTTTAATTACGTTTTCCGGAGTTATGTTTGCTATGCTTCATTATCGCTCATGTCTGAAAAGTGTCTGAAGTTGAGCCATACGGAGCTTTTGAGCTTTCTTCCACAAATAAATTCTTTTCCCATATCAAGGGCCTGTCGGAAGACTTTGTTTCGCTTCAGAATCTGGAAACCAAGTTCACCACGTTTGGCTATGTTTAAAACGCTCGAGTCTTTGAAAAGAAATAACGTTAGCAAACGTCAGGCAATGCTAAAGTGCGGAATTTTGAATGTAAGATCGGCTGTAAGCAAAGCTCCATTACTTAATGAAGTTATACAGGCAAATAACTTAGATGTTTTCATCATCATGGAAACATGGGTACCTTCCGACGCTCCAAATCCAATAAAATATGGTTTGGCCCCAGAGGGTTATTCCATCTTGCACCATCATCGTGACTCATCACAGGACAAACGTGGGGAAGTCTGGCAGTTGTGCACAGCAACCTACTCAAAGCCACCTAATTGTTGATGACATGAAATATCTTGGCTTCGAAAATTTCACAGTTAAATTCAATACATATTCATCATCTTTTATCATAAGCAAAGGCCAAAGCTCAATCTACAGACCACCAGGTCACGTTTCTGCAGATTTTATAAATGAATTTAGTGGTCATGTCGACACCGTCATCAATTTCCACATCCCATTAATCATTTGTGGTGATTTCAATGCACCGGGGCAGCTCAAAGTCATTGAACAGCATTTTGAATCAACAATTTAAGCCCTTGGGCTTTTTCAGCACGTAAACTTTTCCACACATTTCCATGGTAATATACTAGACCTCGTCATCACCAGTATACGTCATAAAGCATCATAAACAACGTTGGAGTTATGGACTGTGTTTTTTCTGATCACAGCCTTGTGACCTTCGACAATACATTATCAAAGTCAAAACCTCCAATCATTGTTCGTCGGCGTCGTAGTTATCGTCGTTTTAGTTCAACTGCTTTTCAACAACAACTCTCTGGTGTATTCTGCGATATACTTTCGCGTGGTGATTATGACGTGGACGACCTTACATTTGCTATCCTCACATCTACAACCAATCTCCTTTACAAACATGCACTTTTTAGATGTTTGTCTCTACAGCAATCGTTCAAAACATCAACTTTTAATTGGTTTAATAAATGCAATTCGGATCTGCCGTCGATTTGAAAGACAATCAAAGCGATTTTGCTCAAAAATCATAAAAACTGGATACAAGAAGGCTAAAGAGATTGCTAAAACGTTAATTATGCAATCCAAGATTGACTCCATCAAAGAAGAGCTTCACTCTAAAAGTAATCCTCTTGATTACTGGCGATCGCTTCTTTCTCGTCCGCCACAACACTATTCTGATGATGAGTGCACAATCCTTGTCAACTCTTTCGCAAATCATTTCATATCAAAAATAAATAATATACATCAGTCAATCAAAGACAGTATTGAAACAGATAACATAACACCTTTCAAACACAGACCACAATCAACAAATATATTTGACGCCTTTCCTGCTGTTTCGGTTTCAGAGGTGTTAAAACTCATCTCCTCTCTTGCTAATAAGACATCTCCACTTGAGTTTTGTCTACTGTTCTTCTCAAAAAATTTTCTTCACTCTTTGCTCCAGTGATCTCAAAACTTGATAATCTTTCTTTTAGCAAAGATGTTTTTCCTACCATTATTAAAACTGCCTAAGTTCTTCCGCTCTTAAAAAAAATCTAATCTTGATCAGCGTAGATGCAGTTTTATGTCATGCCCAGGACTTGATAAGTGTCACATAGTTAAATAACTACCTGAACTATACTGTGAGAAGACGGCGGTGATGTCTGATGGTGTTTTAACAGATCAGTCAACGGTTTTCAACATGACTAGTTTTCAGCTTAAAAGCTTTCAACTTACTCAGTTGATAATCTGAAATTACCAATTGTACAGTCATTATCGAATCATGTCAGCTGGACCCGGCACCATATACTTGGTAAAGGAACATATTGAAACGCCGTTACCTTTTTCTACCAGCTAGTGAATACACGTATTAAATGGTCGGTACTTTTAGCTTTGCAAAAGAAAGTCATCATCAGACCTCTGTTAAAAAACCTGATCTGTCGCCTGATGTGCTAAATAACTATATACAAATCTCAAATTGCTTTTCCTTAAACGGTCGGCTTTTGAAAATAGCATTCAACAAAAACGGCACTGTTGTAGGTCTTTTCTGATGTTTTTGATGTCATTGATGATACCAAAGTTGTTCTCACTGTGTTACTTTATACTTTAGGTTAGCGCTGCGTTTGATCATTGCATCTTTTTGAAATGTCTCCAAAGTTTATATAACATATAGAGTTGAGCCCATCAGTGGTTCCAATCCTACTAAACGTCAAAAAGTCAACTGATCATTGCTGGTTGCAGTTAATCTTACATGGCGGAATTGAAGTTGATTCGGAGAGTACCCCAAGAATTAGTCCTAAATCTTTTGCTCTACTTGATTTAAACAGAAAATATTGCAACTGTAGTTAAGTTATCAGGCCTCAGTTTTTGTTTATATGCAGAGGATATTCAGATATATAAAAACTGTTCTACTGAATCAAAAAGTTGTCTGTTTGAAACAATTAGTCAATTACAAAAGCTAATAACTGGATAACAGCAAACAACCTAAGGTTGAATATAAATAAGACGAGCTTAAGCAACTTTCCGACTTCAAGACACTGATCTAGGTGTGATTATGGATTCCATGCAATCAATGGAGGACTACGTCGGACGTCACTGTCGATCATGGTTCTACCAAATACGCACAAAATCAGATAACTGAATCGATATTTTACAATAGTCAGCAAAAATCTCATCTGCAACTTTAGAATCGATTATAGCAACGCATTGCTATATAAAAACCCAGTTTCTCTAAAAAAGGAATGTATTCATATAGTTTTACATGCAGCAGTCAGAGTGGTTTCAAGGGTAACAAAGTACTGCCCTATCTCAAACTAAATTCGAGTTGATTTTCATTGGCTTTCAGTAGAATAAAGTTCAAAATTACACTGTTCAAGGAGTGTCTTGCTGGTACGGCGCCTGAGTGTTTTAATGATGGGTTGGTGCGATTTTTCGAGATGAAATCCGTCACGGAGATATTGATCAAAACATATTAATATTTATTTATCAGAGTTGAGCGACGTTCTCAGGAAATACGTAAAGTGGGGCAAATAAGCTGCAAAATAAGTATAATTTTCCAATTTTTTATTCCAAAAATTATTTTGACCTTCCCCAAAAAAATATTTGCACCAAGAAACTCTTTTGGAAGTCTATCGATGTGATGGGGAGTATTTAATGGATCTAAATTTTTAGAAAACATTTTACATTTTTATAATAAAATTTTAATTGCATGTTTAATGTTTTTTCCTCTATTGTACTCAAATCTCTCAGCACATCCAACACACTCCCCCCTAAAGTAACGTCATCCAAATATGTTACAATAGATTTTGATTTTAATGATTTTAATAACATATTAACAAAAAGATAAAATAGTAAAGGACCCAAAAGATCACCTTGCTTAACTCTCTAATTTGAAAAATTTTGGTGCCACAAAATGACAAAATTGAGGGCTTATGATACGCCGACAAGCAATAATTATATAGCTTTGGGATCACCGATTTCGCACACAACATATGATCACGCCTCATTGCGTTGAACGCGTTGGAAACGTCCAATTTTAATAAACAATCGTTTTTTTCCATTTTGTCCACAAAACGTCTCACCGCATGAATTGCACCCTCTGCCCCTTCGCTGACACCAACACCTACCTGCTATGGTTGGAGAAGTGGGACTACTTTATTTATGACTACGAGTAATACGCACTTTGCGGCAAGGTGCCACCAAACACAACCAACCGCAATAGGTCTGATTCCACCACCTTTTTTCAACAACGCAACCAATCTTCCACCAAAAAAGTAAGGAACTATCTCGGATGGGCAATCACCACTCAACACTAAATTAATAAATAAATTTGGTGTGTATGTATGTATGTATGTACGCCGTATTTTGTGCTTTGCACTGTTTCAACAATCTCCTTAAGTTTCAAAGATTGTTCTGCCAAGTCTATTTCATTTCTGGCTTTCCATATTTTTCCCGTTTTCAACGGTGGCTTAATCTGGGTTATACATTGGTCTGCCGAGTTGTCAAGCATCCATTGACATCTTATTTTAAACATTTGAATTCATCAGCTACCGACTTGAAAGGTAGTTTTAAAACTGTCCTTTGACTATAAAAAGCAAATTAATTCAAACCCTCAGGCAGACCAAGCCGTTTTCTTGTATAACGGTTTTTCCACTGTGTTCAGGTTGAATACATATACACTATACGCTTGTTTGAAATATTCGACATGTTTAATCTGAGCAACTATGTAAAAGGTAAAGCTCATTCTCTTGGTGGTACCTAGATCTGATCGTTGGCTCTCGTGATTTTTCTGTTCCTGAAATAACAATTTATCCGAGTGAAGTATACTCTGATCATAGTTGTGTAGAGGCCAAAATAGCGATTGCTCAAACGTGTGGTAATTTGGTTAAAAAATTAACTCGGTACTGGAAAAATCTAGACAAAGATCAGTTTACAAAAAGTATTATAAACTCAGCTGTTGCAGGTTCATGCCAGGGGAACAATGTTGATGCTGAGTTAATGTTGTTTGACAGTTAACTAAAAAGTATAATCGACAGATTAGTTTCTCTTCGTGAGATTCACGTCAGTAGAAGTCATACAGCTCCATGGTATGATACAGATTGTCGGCGAGCAAAAAGACAGTGAAGACAGTGCAGAAAACTCGAAAAACTTTTTAGAAAATGTTTATCAATTACATGTCGTAATAACTGGATGATTTCATTAAAGCAAAACAATACCCTTTTTTCGGACACAATTTTAAAGATTTTTTGCTAGCTACAAGCAAGATCCTGTGTAGACACATGAATAAACTCAAATTTGATGTTGATTTAAACCTAACAGCTTTTCAATTCATTCGGTTTTTTCAAATAAAATTACTCATACTGCAAAAGCTAATTATGATCCTTTACTTAATGATAATAGGTCAAAAGTCAATGTCTTTCATCTTTTCCAAAAATTACAGAGGCTAATCTCAAGAGGATTATACTTGGTTCGCCATGAAAAACGAGTGTTCTTGATACAATTTCAACGTGCATTATTAAAAAACATATCAATTTGTTCATCACTTTCCTCACTACTTGATTTTACTTTACTACTTTACATTACTTTCATGTTTTTTTATAATATTTATTTGCATTACCATAAAATAACGTAACATACAAGGATTGTAGCGGTTCAGTAGATATCTCTGTATGAGAACCCCTAGATCGATTTTGACTAGTTTTGACCAATTTTCTAAGTCTGACTTTGAACACCTGCGTTGTAGGAGTTGTTACAGATTTTTTGTCTAGCTTAATCCAATGTTCAATAACTCTCGAACTGAAAAATCTTCCTTTTATTGTTATTACCCTTTTTTGAAAAGATTGTACTGGTGCCCTCTTGTCTTTCTATTTTTTGTAAATTGAAAAAATAGGGATGAATCTATCTCATCTTTACCCGTTATAATTTTTTACGCCTGAATAAGATCTCGTTTAGTCCTACGTTTGTTCAAAGTTGTCAGTCCACATCTCTTCAATCCTTCCTCATATAACAGTCTTTCACAATTATTAATTATCCGGGTTGCCCCTCTTTGAACTTTTTCTAACACATCTTTGTCTTTTTGCCAGTGAGGACTCCATGCCTGTATGCAGTATTCTAATTTAGGTAGCACTAACGTTTTATATAAATTTAACATAATTGATTTATTTATGTTAGCAATCGTCCTTTTTATTATGCCAAGCGTATTATTTGCTCTTTTGCTGTTTCTATGCTTTGCCTGGTAGGTTCCCCACTTTTTTCTACAATTATTCCAAGGTCCCTTTCTTCTGATGAAACCTTTAGAGGTCTGTCTCCAAATTCTAATATATTTTGTTTGTTTTTGTTCCCATGTGAATGACGGAGCGTTTACTTATGTTAAATTTAATCTGCCAGTCTTCCGCCCATTGGTAAAGTTTTTTTTTTAGATCAGTTCGCAGTTTTTTTACATATTCATTTTTATCCACCACTGCACAGAGCTTGGTATCATCCGCAAATTTGACTATCTTGGAATAAATCCCACTATCTTATTGATGAAAATAATAAACAGTGGTCCCAGCACTGAGCTCTGAGGTACACCGATTGTAACATCCATCCAGATCGAATAGTTTCCTCTGATGCCCACTTTTTTTTCTGGGCCAACTAAATAGTTAACTAATCAAGTAATTTTTTTTATTTTAAAATAATTTTTAATTGTTAATAGTTTAACATTTTGAAATAATGTTGTTATTTTTACATTTCGAAATGATGTAGTTTTACATTGTGAATTAATGTTTATAGTTTAACATTTTGAACTGATGATGTTGATGGCTTTATCTATAGAAATGTTATTGATAGTTTTAGATTTTGAAATAATGTTGATATTTTTATATTTTGAACTAATAATGTTGATAGTTTTACCTGTTTTTTTTTCTTTTCAAATTTAAATAAAGCATTATACATATAAGAAAACTAAAAAAATGTTCTTCAGAAAAAAAAAACAAAATGAAAATAACATCTTCATCTTAAATATTTTTTTATTGATTTTAATATATACCTATATATATATATATAGATATATATATATATATATATATATATATATATATAGATATATATATATATATATATATATTTATTTATTTATTTATTTATTTATTTCATTTCTATCTAAAAGTTTTATAAAGAAAAAACTAACTTTTTATGGCGCATCATTTTGTGATCCATTTTGTTGAAACAATTAATTTTCTTAGTGGATATATTTAGCAAACAATTGTTTTACATGAATGAAATTGTTCGTATATATTCTAGAATTTTTTTATCAAGTGCAATAGGTATGTTAAATAAATTGTTTAGTGTGATGCACGCGTAAACTTATTAACGCAATGTGCTACACCATAATGAAAAGTTATTGGTTTTTGTTTATTAGAATGTGACGGTCGTGACAAGCTGTCGCAAATGTTAAAGTTAAAATTATTTGTAAAAAAATTCATGTTAACAACATAAACTCTTGATGAAGAATGTGGAAATAAAGAATTCAAAATTTGCTTTAAATATATTTGATGGCAGTCAAGTGAAATGTTTTTATTTTTTTGACGCAGTTTATTTAGTTAATATGAAATTTAAATATTTTGTGATTGGGATCAACACAGTTTTAGATGGCTTTAGTTTTTTCAAGTACATAAGATTTAAAAAAAATATAACTTTTTGTTTACAGGTTTATTCATGTGAATTAGATATAAATCAGCATGAATAGGGTACAAAAATTGTGTAGCCCTTAACCAGTGTGGGTACCTTACCCTAAGTATTAAATCAATAAAGTTTAGAAATAAAAAATAAAGTATTTAAACATGTAAAAACAAGCAAACAACGACAAATGACAATAAGATACCAGCAATAAAACAGGTCAAAACCGATATTTAAAAAATTTATTATTCTACAGGGATAAAAAATAAATAAAAGCAATGTAAATAATGCAGGATATCCGAAAACAAATAAATATATATATATATATATATTTGGAGACGAGGTTTTCAGCTATGCAGATTTCATTGAACATTTTAGGTACTATTGTGTTTTATTTTATATGGTTTACATTTCCATTTATTTTAATATTTGTATCTCACACAAGGCTCTGAAGATGGTGTTTACACAAACAACATTGTTAGCCAGCCAAATTATGTCACTAGTTCTCAATAAATATGATTACAACAATTCCATATCGTTGAGTGCATTTAAAAAAAATTGATTAATGCTAAGTGGGCAAAAATATTCAATGAAATCTGCATATATATATATATATATATATATATATATATATATATATATATATATATATATATAAAGTCATATATATATATTTATTTATTTATAATTTGGTATGAGGTTCTCAGATAAACATGTACGGTTGAAGATTCATAATTTTTATTCATAATTTTTCATTTAAATTTATTCGTTTATTTTATTTTCAACAATATAATGAGTTAATTTTAAAATATAGGTTGTTATTCATTTATTTATTCATTTTAATATCTAATATTCTATTTTCTATTTCTTATAATTTATATTATTAACTCCTCATTTGGTTTTACAATCTAGGCTCCGACGATGGCATTAGCCGAAACGGCCGTCAGCCAAACTTCACAGTTTAATAAAGTTGAAACAAAACAGCTTCGTGTTGTTGAAATTTTATTTATTTATTTATATATATCAAGTCACGGATTATCCTTCTGAGATAGTTATTATTCCAACATAAAACAACACCGGGCACGTTTAGATATTTCCTTTCAATAAACGAAAAGCATAACAGAAATCTAAAAAATGATTCTTAATATTACCAATTAATATTACACTATTACTAAACGGTTTTTAATACTACCATTAATATTACGCTACAAACAGCTCTACAAACAGTTCTTAATGTTACTAATTACTATTACGCTACAAGCAGTTCTACAAACAGTTCTTAATATTACTAATTAATATTACACTACTAAACGGTTCTTAACATTACTAATTAATAATACAATGCAAAAGAGTACGATATGATACAAAAAAATTATAATCTCAATCACGATACCATTACTCCAAACTAATCTTAATAAATTCTATATCACGAAAAAATAACCCACATACATACCGAAAAACGTTTATTCATTCGAATCCAGCGCGCCAATCCATGCTCTGTTACAACTGATGTATTTTTTTTATGGTCATCTTCGATCTTGATCATCAATTTGTTCCTGACCTCGTCCAGCGTGCCTGCATACATGTTTTCCATATCATTCTTCTTCCTGCTGGCATCCCTAATTTCAAAAAATAAAAAAGAAAAGCAGAAACAGAATGAAAATTTTGAGAAAAGTATGGTACAGCTACCATACGCAAACCATACGCAATGGTTCAAACCATACGCAAGAAATAAATAAAATTTGTGCAACAAACGTCAAACCAACAAACGTATCTGTTAATAATGTACCTATAGACGTTGCAAACGCAAACAACGTATTCAAAGCAAATTTAACAAATGAAGTTATAAATAAAACTGTAGTTACAAAGTCATGGGCCAGATAGAACTAAAGTTTTAGCTACTTATTCTATGAACGAATCTAATGATGAACTAAATTCTGGTGACTTTCAGCTTGTGCATGAAGCAAAAAAAAGTAAAAAGTCTGTTGGTGGTTGTTAAAGATAAAAACAGTGAAGATTTTAAGAAATCCGACTGGTGTCAACTGCTTATTGAAGGCTTCAAAAATTATAGGAAAAAAATACTTATTATGTGGGCAACGTCGGCTCGTGCATCAGGGACGTGTAGGGATCAAACATTCATTTATTAACTATCTTATGTATTAATTATTATTAAAGATTATTGCAATTTTCAATGTTACATAATCTATGTTAATTTTTATGTCTGCTTCTCTCTCAACTTCTTCTTTTTTTGCCTGATAGCTTGTAAACGAAACGGTAAGAGATTGACGTGGGAATAAAGATAGTATTTTGTTACGCCTGAATTGTGTTTGTTTTATTTATTCTAACTCACAACAAGGTGTCTTGTTAGTAGCATAAGTTCGTACTAACAAATTGGTGACCCCGACGTGATTTGAACGAAAATCCGACCTGATCTGAACGAAAATCCGACGTGATTTGAACGAAGATCCCACGCGATTTGAACGAAAATTCCACGTGGTTCTTCTGACGTAAATCAAAGGCCTCTCCGTAATAAATTTTTAACATGGCGGAATCAGGATTGAATGATATCGACATGATATCCATCAAGTTGCCCACCTTTATGGATACAGCATCGACAGGATGGTTCGCAATCGCTGAAGCCCAATTTCACCTCCGAAAAGTTAATTCATCGGAAACAAAATTTTACCATATTCTATCATCGCTACCGGCAGATTCGGTTGCAAAATTACCACAGCAATTGTTTCATGGTAGAAATTATGACGACCTAAAAACAACGGTGATAACGATTTACGAAAGGAAAAAGCCAGAATTGTTCGCTCGCTTGACCGGAGAAACTAAAATGACCGGCAGACCATCACACTACTTGCAAGAATTATTAGCAACAGCCAATAAAATTGAAGTGGAAGACGAACTTGTGCGTCATATGTTTATAAAGGCCTTCCCAGCAACAATTC